GGGAAGTAGGATGGGGTGGTTGGCCCATTGCACAGGCTTCTGGGTAAATCAGGGCTTGCACAGCTGGTTCATATACAGGTCCAAAGGGGGGGCGCTGTGCTCCACTTAGTTCAGCGTGGGGGGTGGGCAGGACCCAGCACTAACTGGCTCTCCTGGAGGAGGTGGCAGGGTCACTATGGGGTTTCGCTGGGTGTCCTCAGTGAACCCCGTCTCCTCCTTCGCTCCAATGGTCTTCCTCTGTAGGAAATCTGTAATGGGAGGGGGATACGCTGTCACCCACATTCACAGAGTGAGTCTGACCCCGCTGTGCCACAACCAACACGGCCAAGCCAGCTACAGTCGCCTAACGCAGCACCTCCGGGTGTCTGGCTGCAAAGCCACCTGCCTCTCCGGCCAGAGCTCATCCAGGCCATGTCTACACTAGCAAATCATTTTAAAATTACTAAATTCGACTTAAGAACTCCCGATTTAACACATTTGAACTTGCGTGTCCTTGCTACGGGGAAAACCTCGAAATTAGTCTGAAGCAGGCTCCGTCCACGTGGACGCGCTACCTCGGACTCACAGCACCAGGATGCACCCTGGGGAGCGGCGGGAGGCCTTCTGGAGGCTAATTAGTTTGAATTAGGGGCACCGGAGTGTGACAGCGCGTCGGGGTTCGCCCCCAATCCTGCACTCCTGTAGCAGCCAGAACAGGCTCCGCCAGCCAGTAGAATAGAGGGGGCTTATTGCTTCTCCAGGGTACAATACAGCATAGACGTGATGTGGCTACAGGAGTCAGGGCCAGGCTGCCTCAGACCCCTTGGGATTAGACCCTCTGCTTAGTCTGTCCCCTTCATGGTTTTCCCCAGCTGAAACCGAACCTTCCCCCGAACACTCGCATCCTTTGTTCAGTCCCTGCCCTCAACAGGTAGGACTGGTTGGGTCTTTGTCTACATGACCTCAGGCAGCCCCCCATGCTAGGCAGTGCTTACAGACACAGGCCAGTAGGGGTCCCTCACGGCCCAAACACAGCAACCAGTGAATGCCTGCCCAAACAGAGCGTACTGCTTGCCCACTACATCACGTGGCGTGACCACACTAACGTTATTTTGGACTGATATGTTCTGAATTAGCGTTATTCCTCGTGAAAAGCAGGAGAACAGAGTTCGAATTCTGAGGTCCCTTATTCCAGGGTAACAGGCTTGGTAGTGTGGATGCACCACTTACAAATTCGAACGGGGGGAGCGGGTGTTATTTCGGACTAAGGGCCAAGAGCTGGCTCCCCAATCACTAGCCACTAAAGGGAGACAGAGACCCCTCCCCATCTGCCTCACACCTCCCTGAGGGATGGTTGAATGAAAATGAGGGGCACACAGGCGCTGAGAGCTGCAGCAGGGAAATGAGCCAAGCCAACAGGCAGAGATAAGCTGACCTCATGACCGTGACACCAGCCCACGTCGGAGGGAAGAAAAAATCTCGGCGTGGGCCCTGGGTAGCTAAGATCGCAGGGCGGGCCCTGGGCTGTTCGGGAGCAGCAGCGAGGGAGCCTGCTGCAAGTGGTTAGGGGGCTGCATGCAAACCCTGCCTCTGATGTGCCCGGGCTGAGAGCCGACCACAGCAAGGGGGCTACATGGGAAGTGCGAGCGATTGTAAAGACCAACAACTCAAACGCCCTGACTGAGGTCGTACAGCCGGCATGGTCTGTGCCAGAGACAGGAACAGGGAGCCCCAGAACTGCTCGTGCCCAGGGGACAATTCAGAGCGCTCCCCACGTTCCCCCACCCTGGCCTGAGTGCCTTGGAATTAAAGAGGCAGACACCCCTTTCCATTCCCAGACAGCTCTAGCTAATAGGACAGCATGGTTCACCCAGGACTCCCTTCATGACAGGGGTTCCAATAACACCCCCTCCCAGCTTCCCCAGGGTCAGATAGCTCATGGGTCGGGAGACCCCACCCTTTAGAGCTGGGGGGTTGTGCTCCCAGGCAGGGGACAAGAGGCGGGCTGCAGGGTGTCATCTTGCACAGAGCACTTTCAATCCCACAGACGATACGGGGGCAGGGTCCGGGGGGAGGGGGTTTCCAAAAAGACTGTGGAACCTGTCCCTACCACAGTGACGCAGCCACCTCTGAGCTGGCATGTGTTCACAGCTCACAGCCACACAACAGCGTAGGACAGGCAGGGGAAACAAAAAGCAAAGCCAACTGAAACGGCTGGGGGGGATTTTGGGAGGCAGAAGGTAAGCACCTGAATTGGAATTTGGCCTGAACACCGGGATTAAAGCAAAATCCCAGGGGAACCACAAGCAGTCGGTACTTGAGACAGAGTCCTGCAGCCACACAACGGCCCATGACCCCCCAGCTGGGGCACTGGCTCTGACCCTGTGCACCTGTCTAAGCCCTGGCTCATCACACAGCTGGGTATGGCCAGGGCCGGCCCACAACATTTTGGCACCTGAGGTGGGGAGCTCAAATGACCACCCCCCCATGTCTCCTTTTCTCCTGCCTGCCTGTTATGTCTCTTGTGCCCTCCTTCCTCCAGCACAGCACTCCACCATCTCTGTGCATCTAGAGCAGAGAGAACACATATGCACCAGCAGCAGACACAATTTTCTACACTCTGGATCCTAGTGATGTTCCCCCACAGTCTGGCACCTGAGGCGGCTGCCTCAGTTCACCTCATGGTAAGGCCAGCCTGGGTATGGCTGGGGATTGGAACATGGCACAAGTACAGGTGTCGCTCCCAGGAGAGAGCCTACCAAGGAGGCCTGGTTGGCTACCCCAGGACATGGCTCCAGAGGGTGTGAGGGGCTGCAGGAAGGAACCTACCTGGCTGGCCGGGAATGTCGAAGCGGAACTTGGAGTTATACTCTGTGGACATGTAGAGAGGACCCTGCAAAGAGCAGGAGAGAGTGAGTGAATCGGGGGGGGGGAGTGCAGCTTTGCACCTGCCCTGACAGGAGACCTGTACCCACCTCCCCAGCCTAGTACCTACCCAGCTAGACTCTCACCCACTTCCTCTGCCTGCCCAGCCTTACAACTGTCCTGGCAGGAGCCTTCCAGTCTGGTGCCAGGGCATCTCCCCATCACTTTGCCCCTGGGGTGGATCTCCCTGGGCACACCAAGGCTCCCCCTTGCTTTGCTGCGATGCCCAGGACTAGTGACAGTTCCCCACAGCAGTGGTGGGTCAAGACCCGGAAGATCCCTTTCTCCACCACCAGGGCTGCACTCACGTGTCTGGCATTCTCCGCCTCGACAGAGCCTTTCCCCTGCGGCTTGTGCAGGTCGGGGAGGTGTCTGGGCTCCAGCCCCGGGATGGCTTGCGGCCCTTGGTCCTGGGTATCAAAGTGGACTTTCTTCACCTGCAGAGCGAGCCCCTCTGGTGAGTCCCAGGACAGCAAAGTGCAGGCCCCCAAGCAGCCAGGAAGGACTAGGCTGCACAGGGCATTGCTGAGCCTCTGCATCCCCACAGTGCGGGGGGCAGGCGCAGGCAGAGGAATGGTTCGTATGGACCTTTGCTGCAGTAGCCGATGGGGGGTTCATGTCCTGGGGGGTTAAATTGGGGGCGTGGCAAGGAGGTGGGCACAATGCCTGGGCACAAGTCCCTGTACCTGTGTTAAATCAGCCCTCCCAGCTGACTACCTCTGGATGCCCCCAGC